AATTGAAAGTTACGTTAGATTACTATATGATAATATATATTCTTATCCTTCAAACATACATATTAGAATACAAATTGTATAATTTTAATACAATTAATAGATTCATATCCAATGCCCAACAATAGAAATTAAGAATTATTAACGACAACTCAAGAGTATAAAACAATTAATATATAGTTAATTAATTTAATCAAGTATTCATCCATTTAACAACCTTTGTTTCAATTAGTTTTTTTTTTTATTTTCAAGATTCAACTGCTTGAAAACATTTTTTTAATCTACAACACATTTGTAAGCGTTTCATGGACACTGTTTTTTTTTTGTCATGAAATAAGAAAAAGTTTGCAATTCAATTTACTGGTTTTTTAATATAGCTTTTTTTTAAATAATTGATAATATCTATCAACGTAAATATGGTTAGTGCGATAACAACCTTACTTTTTACTGCCAGGAATTTTTTTTTTTTTAGATCTGTTATGGCTTTATAAAATATACCTTCAAGTTGATTTCTCCTTACAGCATAAAATAGTATCACCAAGGTATTTTTTAAAATTGTATTAGTTGTTTTAATACCTTAATGTAATGATAATAACATAACATGTATCATTAATTTTTTTTTTTTTACTTTGTCATTGGTACAATAATTTTACCAAACGCGTACTCCAGACACGATCAATGTCATAAGAAATACTGCCCGCTTAGTTTACTTAATTTTTTTTTTTTCTAACACATTTTATTAAGCGTATATTCTTGACAAGACTTGTTTGTCTGTTTACCAAAAAATTACTCGCTAGTGTTATTGTACCAAAACAACAAGCAAACAACAAACAAGGGTTTTTTTTATTAACAGTTTTCACCATACTTTCATATTAATTGCACTGGAAAAAAAATTTCAACCAGCAGTAAAAATCAATTGTAAGCGTTAAGATATTCTTTTTTTTTTTTTAACTGCAATAAATACATCTAATATATGCTATAGAAAAATAACCAGTAAAAAATAACTTAATTTAAATTTCATGTAATCTTTTATTTTTTTTTTTTTTTTGTAATTCAAATGTGCTAGTTAAAACCATTTTTTTTTTTATTAAATTTAAAAACTTATAATACATCAAAGGTTGTTCGGATATAATTAATTTGTTTTACAATAAAACTAAAAAATATGCTATAAATTTTAGTTTAAAACATCAACTTTCTTTAAATATTTTTATTTTTTTCATCTTTTTTCTTTCAATAAATATTAATGCTATTTAATAAAATACAAATATGGATATGATCTACTTCATTGTTACACAAAAAGTAAAAAACATGGTTTTAAGTTTTCATGAAGGGTAATGAACGACATGTGTAGTATACCAAAGTTTAATAAAATGCACCCACAAAAATGTTAAACGGTGATATCATTTGTCCTGAAATCCTAGAAGAAATTGGTTTGTTGGCTCTAACTCATTACACCAGCCCTAAGATAACCTTTTACAAGTCATTCCATTCACAATCTTATAGCTTTAATGAACGTTTGGGCGTCAAACACAATTGAAACAACGATACAATACAATACAATACAAATACAATGTTACAAAAAAGAAAAATATGAAATCAGGGAATTATTAAAATAGGTCAAATTTGCCATGAATAACTTTACATTAATATTCATATGAATCTTTAATTGGGAAAATCTCTATGAAGAGCTAAGCGGTCAAGATGAAAATCAAGGTGCATCAGATGAGGAAAAAATATCAGAATTGATATTATGTTTGTTAAGTATAATAATGGTGACCAAACTAGGTTAAGACATACCATGCAGCCTAATCCGAGTAAAAAAAGCCATTTAAGTAATAATAATTAATATTGTTACATTACAATAATAGAATAATAACAATTTGGAAAAAATCATGGTTAAATATTTGTTACATGTTATTTGAAACTGCAAGAAAAACTGGCCAAAAACAACAAAATATGTATTGTAGGGAAATGTATATCATTTTAAATAATAATTGAATCATAAAACTGCGAGCACAACTTTAGTAAAACGAGTTTTTCACTGTTATCAGTTACTTATATCGTATAATTCAATAAGTCTTTAAACACGTAATATTAATATTACTGCCATTGTTTATCACTAACGTGCATAGTGCATAGTACATCGTGCATAAGTACAACTATCGGCAATCAGCGTTCTTGCCTTAGGGTTAACAAATAAAACATTTTAATATTCTATAACGATATATACGTGTATCACATATTATGTTATACCGAATTATAATAACTCGCATACGTGTTCCAGACCATGAAAAGTAAATACCGAATAACGTTAAAAGAAAATCGATAAAGAAAATGTAACTGTTGAATATGTATATTTTTTTTTCTTTTGAACAACGAAAACATCAAATACACCCATTACGGATGATTACGTATTGAACACACGGCATTGTGTGCCGACGACACGGGTGAACCGAAATATTATACACAATGTGTTTACTCTGGCCGTTTCCGCAATGAATTAAAAACGAATACCGTGCATCGATAAAATATTTTGCCTATACGAAAATTATACTCAAAACATAACGTACGGAGATGATAATATTATTGTCTCGTGGTTTGAAATACGTAAAACGTTGTACTCACCGACGGCGTAGGACGTCTCGCATTGTGGCAGAATAAGTCAATTGTTAAATTAGAAAGATAAAAGAAAAACTGTTTGATATTGTATTTTATATATATTAATAATGCGATAATTAAAATCGAAAGAGGTTAAAAAAAAACGTGCGCCGAACTGCCGACCGAGGCCGTGCGGGCAGCCCGGGGGAAAAACGTTAAATGAACCGGTCGTGCGAACGTTGCGAGGCGGGAGGCCAGAGCAGCGCCGGCCGCTCTCCCCACCATGCCGGCGTCGTCAACGGATAACAGCGCGGCGGTCCGCCTGTTCGTGACCCGCACAAAGCCACGGACGAGGCGAGCGCAGCTGATAAACACCGTCGTCGGTTATTGTATACGGGTACAATACAATCCGACCTGGGAAATATCGGTGTTGCTATTTTTTTTTTTTTTTTTTCATAACAATACGCGCAGGTATTGGATTCCACATTCCACAATATTTAACACAATAACTACACCCGGCCCTTCGCGTTCAGGCATTTACTGACGATGAAAGGTTTTACAAAAAGGTAAAACCTATGTACCTAATCCGCGTTAAAGTAACAAAATTATTATGGCCAACGCGAACGGACGTTTCCGAGTGTACCGTAGTGGCGGCTAAAATATTTAAAAAAAAAAAAAAAATAGCAGCAATCGTCACTTTCAACTTGAAAATTGGCCAGAAATTAATTTTCAAAAAATAATAACTACATACTCGCATACTATACAACTGCTTAACTACATATTATTATGTACATTCTGTTGTAATACTCTAATATATATTTACACAACAGTAATAACATAAGTGATTTAACACACTACTGTTGATAAACACACAAAGTAATTACAATAATAGTAATAATTATTATATAATAATAATTTGATTTGTATTTTATTCATTACCGGAAACAATTTTGTATATTTGTGAGGAATAGTTATTTAACACCTTTGTTATTGCTAAAACTTTAGCTAACTACAACTAACGTCTTATATTAAAAAGACAAACAACATACTGTTATTGTGACTAATATATCCTGAATAAAATAATATTAATTACTATTTCAAAAACCAACCCCGAATTATAATATTATACAGTCGAATAAAAACGAAATTAAGTTAATAAATATAACATAATATTACATGAGTTTAAAATAAGAAAATACATTTGTATTTCATGTTTTGTGAACGTTTTCAATATAAACATTTTTACATGTTTTTTTTTAACTCACTAACACTTACGTTAGTACGGGTATTTTTTAAATCTTGCAAAATAAATTTAGCCCACTTCCTGATATCGTAGAAGGCTGAAATTTAACCCAGACACTCATTTTGGATGTTATTATAATATCCTGTAATAATATTGGAGCTCAGAATTCCAGGTCGCCCTACACAGGGTCATATGTGGGGTTCCTTTCACTAAAATGTCATGTTTTTTTCAAATCTTCCAAAATGAATTTAATAATCTATTCACCAATTATTAAGTACCTTTAATAGGACTAAAAAGTAAAAATAAAATAAATAAATAAAACATGCTTTTCTAAAAAAATAGTAAAAAAGTGAACTAAAAAGTAAAAATAATTTTACTACAAGAACAATTTACCAATCAATTGTAGCACATTTAATTTAAAATGTCAATTACTTTACAAAAAAATTGAAAATTAACTACAGTTTTAAATTATGTAAAACATCATTAATTTTTTACTAAAAGCATAGGCGCTATTCAACAAAGTCCAAATTCATTGAGTTAAGCATTATGGAATGTATGTGTCACACACTAATATTAAACCAAATTAAAACAACAAAAAAACATACAATTCAAAACATTTTCTGATAAATTGATGAGGGACTTTGTTGAATAGGGCCACGCTTTTTTTTTAGACAAAAATTAAAGATGTTTAACATTATTTAAAATTGTAGTTAATTTTCGGTTGTTTTCAAATTATTATTTATTTTGGTTATCTGCTGTACAGTATCTTTATAATTATATATTTAAGAAACACCCCATTTTTAATTAATAAATTAATTTTGAAACTATTAAGTAAAAAAACAAATACAGTGTGCTTATTTTTAAAGCTGAAAAAAGTGTACATTTTAGGATTTTGTCTCTATTTTTAAAATGGAATAGGTAAACTTTTTGCCTATTGAAGTGCACTTTGTTGTCTATAGAATAAGAAACGCTAACTACAGTCTACATAGGTTATTATTTGTTATTACTTGTTCTTGATGTGATTGTGATAATGTTGTCACGGTAACAAGTAGTATACTAATTTGATATTTTGACCAATGTTGATTTGATAACATTGTGAATTGTGGATAGAAGTACTGAATACAGAATGCCCGTTCCTTATTGAAAGTACACTGGAGCTAACATGAAGACAACGTTAAAAAGCTTCCGCAAAAAAAGTGTCTGTGCATTTCTACCGTTATCTGTGCTCGGGTATTACGGTCTCAACATCTTATACATACTTCCACACTTGTGCGAATCTTACCTATCGTTTTGGTACATTGTTCACGTTCTACCCACAACATTTATGGCGTTTAATATATTGACAAATTACTACGCAATGATTTTTGTCGATTCGTCAGTCTTTGGCCGTGTACTCCATACACCGCACAACGCCATAACGAGTATGGTTAAATTAGTAACTGATATTCAACGAAACGAGTATGCGTGTACCTCCTAATTGTAGCATTTTTATAGGTTCAACGTATTGTGACGTTTGTCAGTGCATTATGCCTCCGCGGTGTTGGCACTGTGCAGATTGCAATGTCTGTATACTGACCAGAGATCACCACTGCATGTTCAGTCAGACTTGTATTGGCCACTACAACCGTCGGTATTTTTTGTGGCTTTTGGTTTACTTGGTCGTGAGCTGCTGGTATGAAATTGCTTTGCTCGGGTTCTATTCTTACAATGAAGTTGCTTTCCAACTGTCGGACTTGCACATTTTGTCTCCAACAAGAGGGTTTATATATGTATACATGTATCAAAGTATGACCGAAGGTCAAGTATTCGTTTTTCTTCTAACGGTAAACACGTCGGCCGTTTTATTCACAACGCTTTTATTGACATTCCACCTGGAAAAAGTAATCGGTGGATTAGTAGCTCGTGACAAATACTCTGAAAGAAAGTACGATGTCGGTATGATTGGCAACTTGGAAACGGTTTTTGGACGACAGTGGAAACTAACTTGGATATCGCCATTTGTAGAATCAAACTTACCTCATGACGGATTGGACTGGGACAGTTTAACAGAACGGAATAAATTACTTTAATCTAGTTTTTTGTTATAGGATTTTTAACTACACATTTCCTGTACAATCAAAGAATCTGTGATGAAAAATAAATGATTTTATCTAGATGCAGATCTAAAGACTGTTACTATATTTTTAACGAATAAATTTCTGTTGAATATTTTCAAAGCACGAATGCTTCATATCAACTCGTGTATTGTTTTCGTTCAATTATTTATCTAGTCAAATATTCTATTAATTTGTTGTTTATGAACTTAATACAGTACACAATTGGATTATAATAAGAAATTGTATGGACTTGTTATTTGAAAATGTGTTTTTATTTCTTCTCGATCCTTGAAAATTTATATTTACACTATCAGTTTTTTTTTTTAATGACCTGTGAAAGGTAAATGATAGTTATCCTGTTGGTCATTTTAAATCATACGATTACAATATATATATATATATATAAAAATGCTGATAATATTTGAAAGAAAAATACTCCGGAATATATTTGGACCACGCTTTAACCGAGAAACAAATACGTTTGACAGAAGAAAAAATGAAGAGTTACAGAAATCATACAAAAGACCAAATATTCTAGCCTTTATCAGGAATAAAAGACTAGAGTGGTTTGGACACACTTGGAGAGCGGATGGTCAACTAATAAAAAAAGAACTCGTGGAAAAAATGAACAAAAAAGACCCCTAGGAAGAGCCAGGACCCGGTGGATCGATGTAGTTGCCAAGGATTTGAAAGCCATAGACCAGAATGTGACATATGAGTTGACTTACAATAGAGAGAGATGGAGAGACCTGTTGAAGGCAGCAATGGTCCTTAATGGACCGGTAAGCTGAGAAGAAGAAGAAGATATATTTATAAAAATAACGTTATAACCTTGATAGATAACTAAATATTAAATATCTGTCTTTTTGATGATCTTTAAATTTGACACAATCAACAAAACCAACCAGAAAGTATTCATTTATTACTTATTGCTATAGTACTAATTGTTACTTGTTATCTTAACCTAATTTTTTCTCAAAGAATATTTTTTCATAGACTTACACTACACAAACAAAATAATAAACCGAATTAATTTTATTAGTATAAAGACAATATATCTTTTATACAATCTTTGTTTCTGATTTAGAAGGCAGAATAATTGTCTGTGTCATCGCTAGACACGTTAGTGATATCAATTATCATCAACACATATTTGGATAATTTGGATAAAAAATATATATATTAAAATGGATATATATGTTTATTAATTAGTATTGTATATGTTTATATATTGTATTATATTATATTATGTTTTTATGCGTTATTACAGTTCTTTTTATATTATGGTTTAACATTTTTATGTGTAACCATGAAAATATTTTTAAAAAAAAAATTTCAATTTACTATTGGTAATAAATATTCATTAATTTATTTAAGGGGAACGGAAAGCACTATTTAATTAATGGCAATTGGTAAGCAATTTTTGACAACAATTTATATGGTAATCATTTTAAGTATGCCGACAAATTTTAATGTAAGAAAGGTACTTGTACATAATAAATTTATTAGTGTATTATTGTACAACTTTTTTTATAATTTATACAATTACCGTTAACAATCAAATTAAATTTTCAGAATTTATATTTATATCATGTTCGCATGATATTTGCTTTATACTGTAAAGACGAACCTAAGACAAAAATCAAAAATCTTTTTTGAGTTTGACTTTGGAAATTACATTAAAATTACAATGAAACCATATTAAACGAGCTTAGATTTTATAGATTATTATAACAAACGATAAAGATTCGGACAAAACAGTCAGATTCAGAAAATATTGAATAGCTTAAGTTTTAGCAAAGAATTGTGCAAATTAATGAAAGATGCCTAAAATTTATATTTAATCGCGTTGAGCGACTTGTTAAAACTTTACCGAACGACCCCAAATTTTGATAAACTTATTTAGGTACTATAAAAATTAATTTTTAGTGGTGGGTGCGAAAAAAACATTATTTATTTTTGCGCCACCCTAATACTCATCGAATAATAACATATTTGTTTAAATGTTTTTTTTAACAAGTGTTTAATAATTATAGTTCTTTAATTAAATTTTTTATCAAAATAAATATCAATACGGTCCCGTTCAGTCCGGACTGGTTCAATTCAATTTAGTTTCAGTCCAGTCTACTAGTCTTTTTTTTTTTTAATAGTCCTAAAAAATAAATTTTCCCTGTGATCCGGTCTTCAGTCTTTTTGACAAAAATACAGACCGTGCAGAGCTCTAGTACTGTGTACCTGGATTAAAAGGGATCGTTGGTAGGCCACTCGGATGAAATGTATTGAGTACCTGGCACGGGAGGCGACTAGTTTATGACCTAAAATATTACAATAAGAAATAAAGGTCACTAGAGGGAATTCAGATATTCTCGGATGGCAACTAGTATATTATAAATAATAAATAAATAAATAATTTTGACGACTACCCGTAAATACAGAAATGTTTGTTAGTAAAAATTTGAACTGTATTTGTATTAAATTTGGTGGTTTTATCAATAAATTAATTAAAGGTTTCATATTATTTTAAAAAAATGTTCAACAATTTGTAAAATTTGCTTAATCGTTAGTTTTAAGTATTTGAAGTCATTATTTCATTACAGTTTAAAATGTAATAGTTTTACTAAGATTAGATAGCGACAGAGGAATTATACTGGGTAGTAACGTACTGACATTCGTCGTTAATAGCTTATTTTGTTTTACAAAATTATCATTATTCAAGTTTAAGATAAATAAGCCATTACAGTAGTGACGGAGAGGTCGCAGTTTTACAGGAATTATTACAACTGAAAGTAATATAAATCACTTTCAAATAAACGACCCGTGACCTCTCCCGTCCCCACTCTACTAGCATTTTTAGAAACAAAAATAAAAAATATGCACATAAATATGGGATTTTTAAATATGTTATAGTCCAGCCATAATCAAAAAATCGGCTTTTACACGAATCGAGTAACTTTAGTTACGGAAATGTAAATTTTAAATAAATACATCAAATATACACACAAGATGAAAAATATATTTTTTTAAATAGTTTGTTTGTCGCGTTCACAGTAATTGTCTAACGGTTTTGAAAATAATTATGGTAAAACAATATCGTACGATTTTCAATATTCGTATAATTAGGCCTATGATGTACGTTTAATTGCCGTTTTTATTTCCAACAGAATCGCAAAGTGATTTATGGCTATTTCATTGTACTGACACATACCTGGCAAACCTTGAGTGTGAATTTTACAAGAGAACGTGAATTGATTAATATAATTAACAGCACGCCTAACCTAACATGGCGGGTGAGATATAACGCGAACCTTTGTCAATAGACGAGTGACTAATACACATTTTTATATGTAACAACGATGTACCTACACATGTAAAAGGCTGGTTATAACAGTATACCGAAAACGTCCAGTGATGTCAATAACAGTTATATGCCCGAAAATTTCGACGATCCGCCGAAGAAGGGCATTTTGGGTTTTTTCAAATTGTCAATCGGCATACCAACCGACTTCGATGCAAGAGAGAAATGGGGTTCGAAATACGATCCTAATAATGGTGAACCCATCGAACTTAGATGTCCGAGCATAAAGAAAGTGTTTAACAATGGAAAATGCAAGTGCGGATGGGTATGTGCGTTTAATATTAAATTTCAATACAAATAAAGGACGCGAGCGTTGTCGGTATTGTCTGGCGGTTGTTTTGAAACGATTTTAAAGAACAACGCTAAAATGTTGACCAATTTCAATGGAATAAACGTGCTAAGTCATTTTTATCGGTCTCCAAGGGCCATTTTGTCAATCGACAGTTAAATTGTCGTTCAACTAATCTCAGTTTTAGATTAACCGGAGATTAAAATAATTTCGATTTTATCAGTAAAAATGTAATCCTAGTTTAAGTGAATACTATACATTACAAT